GTGTGTTCGTTCTGATTTACAATCACTTTCACAATTTTAAAACACAAAGGACTGTGCACCACTTTAAGCAGCTGAGATCCTACCTGCGCGGGTATCAACATACTCTGTATGTTATGGAGTCAGGGGCTAATTCAAGTTTGGATTGCACGTTGCTGCCAGCTAGCCCCAGGGTAGAGTACCACAACATATAATACTACATTGTATTTTTTTTCCTCTTGGGTTCCTCAAAGCTAAATATCATTAAAGTAAAATTTAAGATAAAAAAAAAAGAAAAAAAGAAAATGGTAAATTCCATCCTTCTTAGTAGGACAGAAGATTCTTCTGAAAACTTTTACAAGAGTGCCGCTATACTTTAAAGGTCTTCTGTGGAAGGGCCACAAAAGGTTTTACATCCTTTAAAGCTTGCATCTCTCTATTAGCAGAATGATCATTAAGGTTTTATTTCCTTACTTGCGAAATAAAGGAATCCTATTCTACACTCCATTTCCCTATTTTGTCAGTCAACTGCAAACACATTCCACAGAGGTGGTCAGTATCAGATTTAACAGCATACTTGTCACTGACATGGATGAATAAAGTGGCAGACGTGGGATTATTATTTAAGATTTGGGACCACTAATTAGCTCCACGTCCCTTTGCACTTGCTGTCCCTCTAGCTCTCACCGGAGCAGCGAGGATGACGGGGTCTGGGAACCTTCCAGACAGAAACGCTGCGGACACAGAGAAGCGGCACCGCAGACAAGGAGGAATCTCTCTTTCTCACGGGCCTCTTCCTCTTCTCCTTTTTTTTTTTTCCGCTCCTCATTCAAAAAAACTCCAAATATCTCATAAATCACCAAATCTACAAGGCTTATATTTAAGGACATGCTTTGCCAGACTAAGAGCACACCAGGTTTCCAGTAAGTTTGGGAAGAAACCTCCACCCGTGTTGGTGTTCTGGAGGAAGCCCTGGCTGCTGGGGGGCCCAGCTGGATTCGGAGCCTCTCGCTGCCGTCGCCCCCGGCCCCCCGGGCACAGTGCAGAGCATGGGCCGGGCAGCGGGTACTGCTCGCTGTGGGCGCTACTGTAAGCTCTGCCACTTACTGGATCAGAGGATCCCCAAGGTGCAGCTAATCCGGGAGCTGAGTTTTGTCTCAAAGCAGCCGCTCCCGGGAGAAGGAAACCAGAAGCACCGGGCAGGGGAGGTCTGGGAATTTCACCGGTGGGAAGGCTGGTTACTCACTGCCTTCCCAAGGCGGGACAAGAGCACAACGGCGGCGGCTGCTTTTATAGGAATGAGGCTGGGGAAACTGCGTGTGCGGCGCGTGCATCCCGTCCCGCTCCTTGCGGCGGCTCCCGGACAGAGCCACGGGCGCCAGGGTCCCGCGGGTCGCACGGGGACGCGCCCGGCCCCACGGGGGAGGCGGCGCCGCTCACCTGCAGTCCTTGAGCCATGTGGCGATCTTCTCG